AAACACTTGAAATTGTCTTATAGTTTATTATTTTATAAGTTGAATTCACAAAAAAAATCATTAAATAAACTTCCTTTATTTGAAATTTACAATGTCTTTCTTTTTCCTTAAAAAAGTAGGGGTATGGGTTTAAGGGGGGCCCCTCTCGATAAAGTGACCGGGGCCCTAGATTGTCTTGATGTGGCCCTGCCCTGATGCTAATTAACCTGTTGCTGATTATCCTTCTGATCATGAGAAAACACACAAAGTCAGAGACTCCTGGCAAGTGTAAACAAGAGCAAAGACATGGAAATGAGTCAGGGGTAGCGCGTAGAGCTCTCTCATGGCAAGAATTCGCACCATGCCACCTCGAGCCAAATTCAAAACAGTTCTACCGCTCCTCTCCCAATCGTCGAATCTCCAGGGCATCAAGGAAACTTGCAGGGTATTTTCCCCTATATGTAATCGGCGGTTATTGGGATATCGGTTTTCAAGATATACCTGTACTCCTGAACATGCTGATTAAGGATCTGTTGTCCACAAATTGGTATCTGTATAATTACTTGTCCAAATAACATCTCAAAATATTTAATTACTTTTCTTTTGCCAATTACGCGCCCATTAAATGGACTAGCTTCGTTCGCCATAAATTTTTATTTATTTACTCGATATTGGCGACTTGTAATTTTGGATCTCGGTAAAAAAATTACCCCGGTTACAGCCCTGAGCACAAAATAGAGTTGTATTAATTTCTGGTTCAGACTGTTCACTACAGTACTGTACTTCTATTTGCAAACAATACTGTCAATACACCAGCTTTCAACTGAAGTTCCAGGCCTAGTTCCCCCCCATGATCAACTGTGCTCTTCTAGGTGTCCCCCGCAACCAGCTGTGCTCCCTCTAGGTCCCCCATAATCAGCTTTGCCCATCTTGGTGCCCTCCCCATTATTAGACCCCTAATTATGCCACTGTTCCCAAGTTGTAAAGTTAGGTATCCATTTACAGCTGGGTGAAACTGGGAGCACCAAGAAATTGAACCACCAACCCCCAGAACAGGAGGCGAATGCTTTATCCACTTGACAGCCGTGCTGCATATGCACCCCCTTTAAATCCATCTCCAGGTAAGAAGTTATTTAAAAGCAATGTAAACACAATCTTTATTTTTTTCATTGCAATACATTATACCATGGGTGAGTAGAGTGACAGAACGGCTTATTGTACAGTCAACCACAATTTTTTCATGTATGCAAAGATATATTTTCTTTCACATTTTGGCACCCATCCCATTAGCAAGAATATCACAATATCTACATTTTATCAAGTATATATAATTATGTTGTATACAAACAAAATTACCAGGTTGGAGGATTTGTCAAACTTCTTTCTTTATTGAGATCACATCTGTTTTAAAGAAGAGCATTCTTTAACTACTACTGTAGTACTCAAGGTATCTCAAATATCAGTACAGTAATTCAATGAGCAAATACTGGAGGTATTTATTGGTCGATAACCTATTTTGATTCTTCCTTAAATTTAAAATGTTTCTATTGTGTAAAAATGGTTGTTACCTCAAGTCCACTTATGATTTATTATTGATATGCCTGACATACAAATATATAATGATGTTACAAAATTGACTATGATCCTTAAGCCACCAAGTGTAATTACCAGTACAGTACTAAACAAAAATATATAATTTAGGATATACAGCTATACAATAGTAACAGCAGCTAATACTTTAAACTACAAAATATATTTATTAAAGAAGCACCAATCTGCATGATAAAGCATATTGATTGGTATAATACCCATGAATATGAAGGCAAAGAATATGCACTACATTGTTAGATATCAAAGTTATGTGGAAGATTTACCCATCATCCTTAATGTTGAGGCTTTACAAACTGCTCCATTTGCTATCTGAACAGGATATAGGATACGATGGCATTAGAATAACAAATCAGTAATATTGGTTATGGGACAATTTAACCTAAGTCATACCACAATGTGTTCTTAAATGCTCCACAAAGAAACTATAATAATCCTTCGACAAATGCTGGAACTGGAACAAATATTTCCTTATTTTTTCCCCATTACACCTTAAATGGTCATACTTGACAAATAAATACAAGGCAGGTAATAAACAGAGTTAAATGTTAATACATTATTCAAAATACTTAATAATCTCATAATACTCTTTGAACATTCCTGTGAGATAATATGAAGCGTTGTGAGTAGCATGGGCAAGCTGAAGAAAACGTTTTGAGAAAAATGCATTTGATTTTTTTTCTTATTTTGGTCTATAACTCATGCAAATTTTTATAAAATTTCTTAATTTTTCTTATTTTGTAGGTTTGGGGCAATACATCATGAATATGTCTGTGAAAAATGTATAACATTCCATAATATCCCTGACAGCTAATGGTAAAAACTACCTGTACAATAGTAATACAAAATAATACAATATTTTATGAGATGGATTTACAATTTGCTGGACTTTAATCAAGATGACATAAAAAACACAAGTCAGAATAGGTAATAATGAAAATAGCCACACTCATCATAACCAGTCATGACATTTTGCTTGCCAGAAAAGTGGGGGAAGATTAATAATCCAGCATGTTGTCGTTTGGTGAAACCTCATTGTTGATAACTGCTGCAGCATTTTGTGCCTCCTGTTGAGTGATCAGGTCCACATAAACCTGCTTGTATTCGGTTGGTTTGTACATCATCAGATCCTTAATGTCTTTCAACTTAATTTGACAGGAGAAAAGGGCAGGAATCCTGGGTTGCACATGAAAGAGCATGGTTTGAGTTACCAGGAACCATAGAAAACAGATTTTCCCACATTTGGTCAGCTTGCCCTTGCTACTCACAAAGCCTCATATAATTCAAACAAAGTAGAATACTGTATATACTTCAGCTGAGCATTGTTTAATATGTCACTGACAATCTACATAACTTTAATATATATAAATGCAGAATGATCACACAGTCTCCAATAGACTATGAGTGTTAATATCAATAAGACACAAATGCTGGCCCATTTTATAAGGTAGTGTTCTGTCACTATCATGAAACCATTACCTTTAATTATTCAAGAGTCGCCATGGGGCATCACTGACTACCTTGGTGTCTAAAATCTATGTATTGGTATTGTACGAATATTACTGAAAGACTTTTGTATTCTATAATTATAATAAAGAATATGCTTGAGCAATGTATAGAGTAACTCCTTGTAATAAAACAAACTTAAATATGCTACACAAAGAAAATATGCAACCATATTCTGATATTATTTTACTGTCTAGAAGTGTTAAATCAGATTTATTTAGATTTAATGAAAAATCAACAGCTTTTGATTTCTATCATGACAGAAAATCAGTCTTTCAAAAATGCTTTTAAATGCATAATTTACTCTTAGATTAAATTTAGCTATTTAAAAGAAAGGAACTAGATAACATCAAAATATGCAGTACATACTGTACTGGATAGAAAAACAGTCTATTTCATCATTCCACTTCATATCTGTGGTGTCTTAATCAAATCATGGCACATTTATACTCATCGTGTTGCTCTATAAATAAAATAATTAAAGAGCATCATTTATTTACTCACTACACAAATCAAGGTTAATTTCTAATGAACAAAAGGCAAATTCCTTCATGGTCAGATCACATACCCGGTATACTGATGTTGCAGTCCAGTAACTTCAGTCATCATCTTACAGTACAGTTGGTCCTCACATTAAGCGGTCCCGCATTCCGCGTTTCACCGTTAACGCGGTGCCTTGCCAGAACCTAACATTCTCACATTCCGCGGTCGCGAACGCCATTACGCGGAGAGTGTCCGGCGCGACGCTATTTTTAGATTTTCCCCACGCGCCACCCGCCTGCCTGCCTCTCCCTCCTCCTCCCTCTGCTTGGGCAAGCGGCGCGGTAAGGTTGCGCAGTGTGTGTCTTTGTTGCGTTATCACTGACGTCATATGACGTATCAGACCTGTGATTGGCCATGCATCCCTACCCTCCTCTGCTGCTAGCTGTAATTGGCTTAAAGTATTATGACGTGTCCACCCGGGGGAGGGAGGGAGGGAGGAAAGACGCAACCCACCACAGCCAGCCCAAGCCAGTGATAGTGACAGTGAAGTTGACTTTGAGGGATTTGTCAGGGAAGCCCTGACAACTGTAAGTGACAGTGATGATGATTCACCTAGTAATGGTGATTCACCTGAGGGCCAGTAATCTGCCCTCTGCCTCGGAACCAGCCTCCATCCCCGTATGCCGACCCATCTCTTCTACTACCGTAAGTGTTACACAAAATTTTTAGTTTTCTAACCTAACCTTTATTTTTCCTATGTTAACCTTTATCTTTCCTAACCTAACCTCTTCTATATTACTTGTTTTTTCATACCATCATAAAGTTAGATAAAATTTTTACTACAACATAGTTGTGTGTCGTCAAAAAGTGGAGTTTGGGGATCGGCCTGGACTCCATTTCAATTAATCCCATATGTTATGTTGTTCACTTTATGCGTTCCTCACTTTCCGCGGGACCCTCCGGGTTACATTAACCGCGTAATGTGAGGACCAACTGTATACAGCATCAGTAATGTGTTCTGATGAAATATAGTACATTTACTAAATACTTGTATAAATCATGTAGCAACCATAATGTATAAATCCCAATACAGTACCTTTTTCATCACAAATGCATATCTATGCACAATATTTTAAATTGCAGTAAATATGTAACTGCCCAAAACATCAAATAATTCAAAATGACAAACCTCAAAATACTACAAAAATGACTAATAGAAGCTAAGCACCCACCATGGGACCACAATAACTTGTCTAAAAAATTAAATAGGAATCCTTGCTTAATGCTGTAAGAGATTCATAGTGTACCTTAATAAGTCTAATATAAAGATAGGTACGATAGAGAATTTCTGGAGATGAAAAAATTATACATTCTTTGACTTCTTAGCCACACACCAGTAAAAAAGAATAATTAAATTACATAAG